TCAAAAAAAGTAGTATGTACAAGGCAAAACTATATTGTAAGTTTATAAGATTGTAAAATGCAAAGCGTAAACTTACTACCAAGCTAGGGTTGCCAGGTCTTTGAACCTGAAACATTTTACGTTTTGGTAAAAAGGCCGGACACCCTTCATTATTCAGTCTTAGATACACGATAATACTTTTTTAAAGTAAAACAATATTTATATCATTTACCATAAAATCTTAAATTAAAATTGAATGAATCAGTGTTCTCTACTATTAATCGGTCAATATTTATTACAATATTAACTTTAATAATTGCAATAGTATGTATTTAAGTACATGAAAAATGTAAAAAAATGGTCAAATATAAAAAGCCTAACAAAAGCCGGACAGGCCGGACACCGTCTAATTTGGCCGGACACGCAACCAAAAAGCCTGACTGTGTCCGGCTTTATCCGGACGCCTGGTAACGCTATACCAAGCCAATGTATCTACAAAACTTCAGTGCTACAGTGATTCGCGCTTGACTAGTTTTTGTAGCAGTAGAATTTATGCAGTAGTCACAGATCTGTGGCAGTAGTTTAGAATCGGTTTGCAAAATTTCTTATTTAGGTATGTATATGTAGGTACTTGCATAGACCTACTACCAACATAATTACATACGTAAACGGCTGTCACATTACATACATACACGGCGAAAACTTTAAAACAAGCTTACTACGAAACAAACAATGGGGGGATCCTTCCTTTGAATTTGAGAGCAGCTTATACTATAGGGTGTAGTTTGATAACTATGCAGCCACGTGTACTAATAACATATCTGTTACATGTTTAGGTAGGTAGAAAATACTTAAGTACTCACAATTTAGCTAAAGATAAACTATCAAGGTACGTCAGTACTCAATAGGTCCATAATTTTTATGTACTTATGTAGTAAGTAGCACTACAGTCAGATAAGTTATTTTTTTTAAAACGTTACCCCCACACTAGGATTTTCTCTTGTATCATGGAGGCACTTTACAAATATAAATTGCACAAGGACAAACATCCAGATCCGGAAGAATTATTTGTAGGTCATACAAATACTTGTTCCGTGCGGGGATCGAACCCACGGATTCCAGCGCAGCAACTCATTGCTAAGCCAGTACGCCACGGAGTAACGATCACGTAAGGACGGATAAGTAAGTTACAGTTTTATTTCTTTATAGTTAGATAGGTAGGTACTTACCGAACATACTTATATTTTTTATTACTAACTAAGTGCTTGGCTTCTGCACTGCGGTTCGGGGGTTCGATTCCCATACGCAACAAATATAACTAGTAGCGCAGCAACCAATAGCTTAGCCACTGCACCAAACCTGTCATATGCTAAATTTCTACATAATATTTTTATCAAGACTCATTCATCAAGATTCATTACGTTTATCATACGTTTGTCCGTTTCTTTACGCCAACCCAATCGCTTCTTATTTTTATTACGCTTATTTCCCATTGCGCCGACACTACAAACCTAAGTATCTATTTTAATATTTTAATGTTACATCGTCCTGTGTTGCGTAATGTGTGTTCTGAGTTTTTGACGAGACAACTGTCCTCGAAGGGGTCACAGATACCTACGGTAACAGTCTCCTTCGGTATCTCTAGACTTTCAATCATTTTGATGCTTTAAGGAAACGTTTCCGAATTCTTCCTTATCCTGTCTCTATAGACATCCCAGGACGACGCTTTTGGATCCCTAAAGGCAAAGGTTTATAATTCGGTGATGATCTAATCACAAACTTCATGTATTTGTAATCAGATATCGAGTTTTCACTACTAACATGCCAGTCCGTTATCTGCCAGGATATGTCCGTATACCGTCCCAAAAATTAAAGGTCCGGATTCGTTATAGAAACGTGTACAGTTTGTTATTTTACCTTTACTTACAAATTTACACATTTCGGTCTTGGTAGATCAGAGTTATAACGTCCGTAACGTATAACCTACGCAAAGAAAACTTACAAGGAATAAATATGTGTATTAACATTGGCTAGCACCACTAATAATTACAATTTTAGTGTTGATTTACTTTGTTCACTGAATGGCATTAAACACGTGACCCAAATAATAATTGCAATAGTTATAATTTTCGTATCAGAATCAGTCCGACTGTAACATAACTGTATTGTGATTACAGATGTTATTAGAACACAGCGGTCAAAGTCAAACTTATTTCCAATACTCATAGCACCACCCTAGTATTTGACAATAGTCTGCGTTTGGTTCGACTCTTGTAGGCTATAACCGAAATCGGACGGATATTGATGTCTCAATTTTTATATAATTTGTACTATTTATTATTTTATTTATATGTTTATTTTTAGAACGTAGACTGCAACGGGTAGCTTCAATATAAAATAAGTTCAATTATGTTACCCAACCAGTGGCGGCCCTAGGGCGGTGCGAGCGGTGTAACCGCAACGGGCACCGAAATCAACCGAAACGCTACCACCAATTCACTCACTCTTATCAGAAGTCAAAACACGAGTATTTTGTTGCTAACAAGCTAGTAAGTGATTCTTTGCAAGAAGGACTTACTGGCCTCTTTCTTGATGCAATTGTACAAGTGTTTGACTAAGACATGAATGATTGTCGAGGTTTAGGGTACAATAATAGTGCGAACATGGCAGGAAAATTCAAGATGTTCAAACCAGTGTCTGACTCAGTATTCTTGGGTATGTTTCAATCCATGTGGTTGAAGTTATTAGAACTTAATTTTCTCATATTTGCGTAATAAAAAAAATGATGTGTCCTACCCAGTCTGAGGAGCACCTCCCAACCCCCCTCAATCGCTTGCACTATCCCCGTAGCCACCACTCCCAGTACCACCACACCCAACACCACCAAACTAGGGCCGACACACCACTCTCGATAACAAGATACGTGTTTCGCCTCTACACGACGCATCCACAGGTGCAGTAGTTTCTCCTGTGACTAAAGGCTAAATGAGTGGCGAGCCGAAAAAGTTGCTATACAACTCGCTGATCAACGAGTTGCATAAATAGCAGCGCGTGAAGAGCGGAGAGAGTGATAGGAGTGGTGGTGAGGGGAATGGGATTAGTGGTGACGAAGATAGAGCCAGCCTCCGCAGTCTTCTCCATCTGAGGATGCCTCGTGTAGAGGCGAAACACACGTGTATCAAGGGTGGTGTATCGTTCCTAATGTAGTGATGCTGGGAGGGGTGGTGCTAAGAGTGATGGTGCTGGAAGTGGTGGTGAAGGGGATAGTACACGCAACTGAGAGAAGGTGGGAGGTGGATGCTCTTCAGACTGGGCAGGACACATCATTGTATTTAATTACGCGGAAATGAGCAAATTAAGAATAGCTGCATAGCTGCTCGCACAAAAAAAATCTATGCAGTCTGAATCTATGGATTTAGCAAAGGTGACGTATTGTTCACCGAGCCTTTTCATCTGCTCTAATAACAGATAGGTCCAATTTTTAAGCCAGCCCGTCCCAAAAAAAGTAAATATTATTTGTGTACGAAGCCGTAGGTGAGACACCAACTGATCCTAAAAAATTGTTTTTAAAGCTTTTTACCCCGTGATTGATACAATTTAAAATGCATTGGATAATTGACTTAAACTAAAAGAAATTCTGTGATAAGTGTTCATTTTTCTACAAAATGAAAATAATTCCTAATCTTTCAGATCAAAAAGCAACAAAGTAGTGCGAGCGGAATGGACAACATTTCTTTAACGCGAATTATCGGAACAACTGCTATGGCAAGAGCGACAGACACAACTGTACTTGCCCCCATATACACCTGTAGACATTTGATAGGTTCTACTCTATAGGTCACTATTTAAAATCACGAAAAATCAACTGCATAGTATAGGAACATTAAGGTTTTGTATTTAAAGGGGCGCCATTAAGAGATCTCGCATCACCTCAAAATTTTGCTGGGCCGCCACTGTACCCAACACGACCACGCCAAAGGGTTTTGAAGGGAATAGACCTGAAAGTTGAAGCAGGAAAACCCGTTCCTTTAGTTGGCTCTTCCGGATGCGGCAAATCTACCATTTCGCAGTTGATGCAGAGATTCTATGATCCGGACATTAGTAACATCGTAAGTATTACATGAGTTATAAAGTAGAATATGTTATTTTAAAGGTATTAAATGCATCTTGCAATACATCCATTATTTTTACACAATAATATTTCCTGCCGAAGGCTCTACTAAACTTGAGTTTAGACTACAGAATGCTATTCTCTTTGTTTTTGGGGAGTTTCAGGTTAAGCTCTAAATTTCTGTCTAGTCTAGTTATTTAAAGACAATCTCAAATTTACACCTTAGACTAATTATATAAAAATACGTAGTTGACATAAATTTGAATTTAAAACCCAAGATTGTCTGTGAATACCAATTAATGCGTAGACAGAGAAACCTATAGACTAATGATTAGCGTGGCCTCGAGTGAAAAAGGACGATAACGTAGTTTTAGGTTATACAATAATCTTTATGAATTTTAAACATATTTAGATAAAAATTTTATTTGTTCTAAGAACTGAACTGAACAAGATTCACCAATCTTAAGCTCACAAAACATTTTTTCTCACTTAAACCAACTTGTAAACTCCTTAGATCGCTACGAACTGTCAAAGTTCCACAAGAAAAAGAAAAAAAAGTACGAAAGTCAAACTACACTTTGCTAAACAAAAAACCGGCACAGAGAAAGGGACAAACAATCACACCGCTCTGTCTCATTTCTATGCAAGACGTATGCATAAATCTATCTTTTTCGTGTGCGAATGCGAAAGAAGGCGTCAATTTGTCTATAGGTTTCTCTGTCTATGTATTAATGTGAGTTTACTTTTAAATTAGACGTTTCGTGTTTGGCATTTGATAAGTATGTCAACATCATTATTTATATTTAAGAGTCGACTTCATAATAAATACGTCATAAATTATTTACTACAATAATTGGGGATTTAAAACAAAAGATATATTAATATTTATGACTTTCGAATTATTTAAACAATGGGTCAAATTCTCGGCACATGGAAAACACGGCACATTGATCTAAATCAAGATGATAAACCCACTTTTGATAGCTCCGATGGTTTCACATATAATAGAGCTCAACGCAAAATGGTAGCTTGTGAAGAACATCTTGTTTCTGCTCGTATTCCAGTTAAATATCGAGACTACTGCGCACACCTTCTTTTGGATTATCAAGTATGCCGATACAAGAAAATGCCTTTCGTTCATTTATGCCATCACGAGAAACATGCATATTTGAACTGTGAACAAGCAGACTACGTTTTAAGGATGAAAGAATTTGAGAGAGAACGGAGGTTGAGAGAGAGAGAATTAAGAGTACGGAATATAGAGATTGAGCCTGAGCATGATCCTCAGTGTACTGGTTAATTTAATATGGTTTTAAATAAAAATATTTTTTAAATCCAAAGAATATAGAACCGTGTACTTTAATAAGTTCTATGTAAACTATGTACACCTATGTATGAGTACTTAGCAACTTTAGTTATATGCACATTAACCGTATTCACTGCTAAATTAAAACCTTTAGCGATAATAAAAATTTTTTTAGTTTTCGTGTATAATAAAGCCCATAAAGTTTTGTGTTTTATTATGATATACATGTGCTACATGATTAGTCACAAATATTTCTGATAAGGCGAAGACAAAAACAGGATTTTAAAAATCACGTATTTACTTAGGTCATCTGTTTTAGAATCCGTACCATTAGCTGCTGCGAATCACATGGCAAGATTCGTAGCAGGTAATTAGCAAGGTACGTAGCCAGTCATTTTGGTGGCGCGTAGGAGAATTCATAACCCCATTTCATACCGTGGGCCATACCATATTATGAATGAATATATGAATTAAACTAACCCAGCACTATTTATTACTTATATTACTTGATGAGTGACTTCGTAATGATTTCTTATACGAGGGCGGCACTGAAAATTTCGGGAATCAAGGAAGTGACAACATTACTATTTAAAAATGTATTTATTTATTCTCCGCAAAATTTGACACATTTTTCCATACGATGGAACCAATCATTGAAGCAACCATTCTATTCGGAAGTTGCGGTCTCCAAAATGACCGTTTTGTAGGCGTCCACAGCTTCTTCAGGTGATGAAAATCTCTGTCCACGCAATTTATTCTTTATTTTAGAGAAAGTATAGAAATCATTAGGGCTTAGGTCGGGGCTGTACGACGGATGGTCCAATAATTCTACGTTTTCTTGCTCTAAAAACTCTTTTGTTCTGTGTGCGGTGTGAGAACTCGCATTGTCGTGATGGAGGATGATGCGGCGGTTGCAGTTCTCTTTACGGAGTTAAGAAACAACCTGTGGCAAACAAATGCTAGCATACCATTCTTTACATTAACCGTTCTTTGTCCCTCAAGAGGAATAGTCGTAACATGGCCGGTTTTGGAGAAAAACGTGGGCACCATTATTTTCGCAACACTCCGTGAACGAACAATTTTTGTTGGCTTTAACTCATTTTTGAACACCCAAACTCGTGACTGGTTTTTGTTTCGTCACCTGATACGATGTTGTAAAATGGTGGAGCGACGAGCCTAAGGTTACCGAAGTCTAATTCCCCGGTGGAACCTTAAACCTATTACGCGAGATATTAACCAAAGTGGACTGTATATGCGAAATGCTTCTTCGTTTACCCAAAATGGCGACTATAGCACGCGGTTTCCCATACAATGCACTCGCTCTTCCCTAAAACGAACTATTATTTGCCAAATATATGAAAGAAATCCTGCTTGATTAGGAGAAAATAAATTGGAGCGGACACAATTATATCAAGCAGTAACTAGTAAGGAATATTCACTCACCGGGGGTGTTGTTTCTATGCGGCTTGGGCACTATGTTGCTGCGACTTCTGGAAGACACTCTGAGTAGACTCTCTGGGGCCCCAGCCTTTCTTGTCCGGTGATGCGTCGGTAGAGAGTACGGTGCGCGACTATTTCTCACACGAGGTGAGGCGGGTTTCCTGGAGCTCGACTGCTTCCAGGCTAAAGCGGTTACACTAGCGGTGCGCGTGGGCAATAGCCCTTCTATGACACTATTTTCTTAAGCGGTGTGGTTCCAACGACGAGCGCGGCGGGAAGAGAGTGCGCGTCGGCCGCGCGTGCCTTTTATTCCTTCGGTTGCGATGATCGCGTAATATTCTAGAATCATCTTCTTTCCCCTCCCACCCCACCACCCCGATGTGTTGATAGGAGGGTATGAATGTTATCGTTTGGAAAGGGATAAACGATTTTGCAAGCCTACCGTCAAATATAAATAAATACGAATGGTTATCCGCGCAACCATCTCCCCCGCCCTTGAAGGATTTCCTTCAAAAAATAATTAAAACACGTAGAGCTAAGATCAAACTAACAAAATAACTAACTAACGCTAAGATTACCTAAATTCAACTACAATTCGAATCTAGAAACCTAATTTAAATTATGGAAGAGACAAGGGGCACAAACGGACAACAGGACGCATGTAAGACCCAACCGTGGTCTTAACGCGAGCTACCCTAATTACTCCGTCGGAACCGGGAAAGACCTCTTCGACAATTCCTAACGGCCAATGGAGAGGCGGCGTATTCTCTTTGGTGAGCACAACTACAGTTCCTACAGCTAAAGGCTCAGTTGCTGTGTTTCATTTTTGTCGAGACTGCAAAGTATGCAAGTATTCCATCCTCCATCGTTTCCAAAACGATTGCACTAACCGGTCTAATAATTTGTGGCGTGCGGAAATGCTAAGTTTGTTCTCGTCCATATCTACGGCGGGCAAATACTTTAAAGGCGTTAAATTCAAAAAATGTGCTGGAGTTAGAGCCAGCGGCTCCGAGGGGCCACTAGACAACGTACGACAAAGTGGGCGGCTATTCATTACGCATTCAATTTTAGCGAGCACCGTACTTAGCTCTTCGAAGGACAAAATTTGATCTCCTATTACTCGGTATAAGTGACTCTTTAGACTCTTAATATTAAGGGTCTATTTTCAATTGTTATGACAATTTTAACCTGATTTATGGGGAGAGAGAGTTGGGGGACGGAAGCCCCACGCCACTTAAGGTGGTGCAGTCGGGGAAGCCTGGTCGACGGAGCCCCGCTTCGCGGGGCTCCTACTTATGAATGGTTTACAAGAAAATAACCACGAAGGGGATGACCCCCTTCTAACCTAACCTGTACGAGTCGGGGTGCCCCACTCCTAGGCTCGCTTCGCTCGCTTCCAGGTCTATTTTCTTTTTCTGTTTAAATGATAGTAAATGTGTAAATGATGTATGAAACGAAATATACAGCTTCTCTATAAGCTAATATGTGGGAGTAGATACCACATTGCAGATGAGTAGATAAACGAAACAGAGATAAAGCTTCATACAATCGCGCGAATCGCTTGCACTATTATTATTGCATTTATTAAGAGTTTTAAAATAGGTGTAATACGCTTGTAATTTTACCAAGTCGTGGTTGTCAGAACACATCATTTTTCCTTTTAATTTACGTGTAGGGGATGAGAGTTAAGTGGACTGTATTTATGTTTTATTGAGAGAGAAACTGAACTACTATGGAGAAGAAAACTAATCAATGTGACATCTGTCTGACTAATAACATAATTGATGATAATTACTATTTTAAACTGACAGGAGTTAAGACGAAATTAAAGAACTTCGAAATAATAACTATATTGTTACACTATTTAATTACTAATTCTACAGAGTGTCTCACGGCAGAGTTAGGATTTTGAAATGAAATAAAAGTCAATTTGCATATTTTTGTGAAAAGATTTTTATTGAAAATTATTGAACTATAATGCGCATTTTATTTTTTAAAGATCACATCTTCCAGATATCTTCCATTTCTTAGCACGCACTCACGGAAACGATTCATCGCATTTTGCATAACGCGCCTAAGCATAGCTGGCTCGATGTCGAGTATTTCTCGTTGGATATTTTGTTTTAGCTCAGCGATATTCCTCCGAGTATTAAGAGTCTAAAGAGGTAGCACCGTACTTAGCTCTTCGAAGGACAAAATTTGATCTCCTATTACTCGGTATAAGTGACTCTTTAGACTCTTAATATTAAGGGTCTATTTTCAATTGTTATGACAATTTTAACCTGATTTATGGGGAGAGAGAGTTGGGGGACGGAAGCCCCACGCCACTTAAGGTGGTGCAGTCGGGGAAGCCTGGTCGACGGAGCCCCGCTTGGCGGGGCTCCTACTTCTGAGTGGTTGACAAGAAAATAACCACGAAGGGGATGACCCCCTTTTAACCTAACCTGTCCGAGTCGGGGTGCCCCACTCCTAGGCTCGCTTCGTCTCCCAATTGCCCCCAAAATGACTCGCGGCTGGGACGTTCAGAGACCACTCAATGCGGTTCTCGGCCAGAATGTGAGCGAACTCAAAATTATAATACTTGCTAGCTAAGAGCTCATGTAGTTCTGATAAAATACGTTTTGCACCGACGTAGTTCGTACCGTTATCCGAATATAATTTACTTACAGGGCCACGGCGGGAAATAAATCTTTTAAATGCACCCATAAAGCCTGCTGTGCTTAGATCACCAACGAGTTCTATATGCACCGCTCGAGTAGTTAGACATACGAAAATGCAGACGTAAGCCTTTGTGGATCTTATACCACGCCCGCGAGTGAGCGTGACCTTAAACGGACCAGCAAAATCAGACCCGGTGTGCGTGAAGGGCTTTACTGATTGTATCACTCTGCAAGATCTAAGTTCCGCCATTTCCGGAAATGACGGCTTGGGGCGTGCCCGAAAGCAAGCTATACATCTGTGCACCCGATTGCGGATTAAACTACGTGCAGAAAGAATCCAATAATTCTGACGCAAGATCGACATCAGCAAGTCGGGGCCAGCGTGCGAGTTCAATTTATGATGGTAATCGACTAATAAATTCATGATATGGTCTTTACGCGGTAAAACTATAGGGTGCCGTTGGTCGAAACCCAACTGCGAGTCAGACAAGCGTCCACCCACCCTTACAATCCCATCCTGTAAAAATGGCTTAAGGCATTGAAAGGCGCGACTACAAGCTCTATTCGATTGTAATCTTGTAAGAAGACAAGCGGTTCGCCAAAGCAATAATTGGAGAAACCTCGCTCGAAACTTTCGCCACTAGAGCGTGTCTCTTCTCTTCCGGCGGTTGTGACACTGACGAAGGTTCGAAATCGGTTATTGGCCATTGCGAGGGATCCAAGTGAACCCAAGAAGGTCCGTGGAACCAAAGCGGGTGGTCCATTATTTGCATCGGGGTGAGTCCACGGGATAGACAATCGGCAGGGTTTTCCGTACTGGACACGTGATAAAAGTTCTGCGTTTCTATCTCGCCTTGGATCTCGGCCACTCGGCTCGCGACAAACGTATCCCAA